GTTTGCAAGAAAAGAACCAAGCTCAGAGAACCCCAAGGACTCCACAGTTCAACCCTGAGCTACACATATTCACCTCTATTGGAACTAGATTGTAATTGTTACCATAGCCAACTGGAACAAAATATTTTATATATCTAATATATTTTAAATGTTATTTTTAATGTTTTATTATGAATGGTATAAAATGTTTTTTTATTATTGTTCATCACCTGAAAGTGCAGGTGGCAATACAGATTTCTTTTAAAATAATTATAATTCCATGAGAGCCAGTTTGATGTCATAGTTAAAGGCCCTAGGCTAGAAACTGCAAGGCTGTTCTGCCTTAGGCAGGAAATCAGCTGGGTGACTTTGGGCCAGTAACCCTCTGTCAGCCCTAGGGGAAGGCAATAGCCAACTACTTCCAAAAATGTTGCTCAGAATACTGCATGGAGTGTTATTATATATATACATTCTGGGAAAGAATGGAAAAGTGAAAAATAACGTAAAATAAATAGGTTTTTTTTTTAAAAAAAACCTTTCATTGTCATATTTCCTCTCCACATTTTCATTTCAAAGGATACTTTGAAATTTGAGCAGACCAATTCCTTCCTTTTCACAGCATAACTTTAATAAATTATAGAATACAAAATTTAAATGCTATATTTTGAACATGCTTCCAGTTCTCAATAAATTGGATGGTGTACACTAAATTGGATAAGTAAAACTTAGGTTCAGTCTCAGATAAACTTTAGTTAGATGAATTTCAGTTAGGTGGATTTTAATTAGGATATTAGAGAGTGTCAGAAAACGACAGACACGGGTTCGGTTGTCCAGTAGACAGAAGTTTTTTATTGGGCATGTTTGCAAAGGTGGGTCCCTCCCGCAGCAATGGAGGAACCTTGAAACAAGGTCTGACAGGTTTTTATACCCCCTATCTGTCCTCCTCCTCCTAAGAGGGCTTGGCTCACAATCTCACCTTTTTTACCACCCCGGAGCGCCGCTAATTAACCACAAAACCGCAGACATTCCACTTTCCTAATCCAATCAGCGCAATACACATTGTGATACCCACTTGACCCAACAGCCGCCCCCTGCCGTTTCTCTTCACTCCGGTGCGAACGTGCCTCCTGCCTACAGTATTTCCTCCCTCCTGCCATCCCTCTTCACTCTGGTGCGAACGTGCCTCTGCCCATCCTCCCTCCTGCCGTCCCCCCCAAGGCTGCCCCATGG